TGATTATGAAATCATTTCTACAGTCATTCACACTGTACCAGAGACTGCTCTGGCATGTACAGAAATTTCAGTTCCTTGCAAAAGTGAAGGCAACGTTAAATAACTGGTAAACTGATTGACATTCTGCCCAGAAATGGTGCTGTGGCTGAACTGTGCTCTAGTAAATTCAATGTGGCTTATTGCAATGATCTGGAGAGAAAACTACCAATCCCACCACCAATGTTTTAAAATATTTTCATTTAACCAACAAAATTGCTTACATTCAAAATAACAAGCAAAAAGCAGAACTTTAAAACTTACTATCTAAATTTAGCATAGAGGTAAAATCAAAATTTATCTGAATGGAAAGGGTGGAAAATAATTAAACCAAAATTTTGCCCAAATTTGAAAATAAACCTATTTCTTCGATGTTTTTACCATTTCATAATACTGTACAATTAACTTTAAATCAGTTAGCCAATGATTCCAACAAAATTTTTTGCATTTATTTCAATTTATACGAGACAAATCGATCAATAAATAAAAGCTAGATTCTTATGTTTCCGGCACCTAATGAGCGCTTATTTATTCAATTGTGCGAGAATTTCACTTAACGAGACTTTCATAACCGGTGAACATTAATACTGCACCGCTGGTTTCAGATATTGGTTTTTGTAGAAAAACGTTACAAATAATACACGCTGCCACTGGGTACTGTTTGTAGAAGAAAACTACAAAATTTGACGAGTTTTTATGATTTATACTTTCAGAAATCTTTTTCATTGCTAACGTTTTTTTTTTGTAAAGAACTTGGCACTACGGTCCTTTGCTAAATCCCATAGAAAATTAATAATAGCATCAGTTTTAAAAGGAGTTAGTAAGACTTTTACGTTAAATGAAAGCAACTTATTACTTACATTGGAAGAAAAAATACGTGATCAATTATTTTATCTTTTGAAAATCATGTCTAAATTTCCAACAACCTGTGAAATACCACGAGACTGATAAAAGCCAAGATAAAACCTTGACAATCAAAATGCCCCCTTTTCATATCATTATGAAATATTGCAATTAAGTTTCTCAGCTTCTAAATGTAAAGCTTTATTTTGTGTAGATATTATAAGATTATGTTGTAACTATTAGGTAACATTTAAAATAAAAATGCCTGCAGGTGGTCAAATCAACTAGGTCTGTATTCATAGCAAAAAATTTAATTTGCTGGAGGGTTAGAAAATAATCTACATTGAAGGTAAATTAACAACAAACCTGTATCTGGCATTGAAGTAACTTCAATGATATAGATAAATTATTAGAAGATTCCCCTCAATTCATTGAGCTTCATTAACAGGTAACCAGAGTAGAACCAAAAATTCTTTTGACCTGGCAGAACAGTTTCCAAAATATAACAACCCTAAGCAAGAACCAAACTCCCAGCTACAACCTTAACAGATTGTGATTTATTTAATGATTCTATAACAAATATTGCAACAGAGGTCAACTGTCAAGATTTTAGTTATGCATTAGTCTTTTGTAACATCATCATCACCTTCTTATCAGCCCTAGGATTACTTGGACCTAGCTTGGACTTGGGGAGCAACAGTAAATCCGCTACCGCATTATTCTAAGCTTCTTAACTTAATGTCATGGCAAGTCGTTACGTTGGTATAATTGATATTTAGCAGTTAAATAGGCAATTTTATTGACATTACTAATATTTTGATAATTTAAATGGTATAGAACAATATTAAAACAATTGTTTTATCCAATAATGCACAAGAATTAATGAAGGAAAGGGTATTTGCAAATGAAAAATAAAATTATATCAACATGTTATGTTATTCTGGTTAGATTTCATAACGGTTCTGATCTAAAATCAGATGAAAATCAAAAATGTCAAAATGCCACTTAGCCAGAACTAGAGTAAAGCTAGTGTTACAAATGTCTTGTGCAAAATCTACATTTAATGAAAAATGTCTTTGGATTTGCCTTGAACTATCTTTTAATGGCATCCTCTGCAGAAATTGCACTTTCATTTCGATTCAGAAATGAATCACACATAATAAACATGGGTATAACAATGTCTTCACCCTATGTTATTTGTTTGTGAAGCAGACGAGAAAAATTTTGTATTTCCCATAATGCACCTGCTGCAACAAGAGTGCAACGACAAGAAAATAAATCATCTGAATCCGGACATAAGCTGACATTTAAAAGTTGGCAAGACATAATTATGGCTAAAGGAAAACAAAATACATTAAAACCCGTGTTGAAGACCACCTCCAAATAAAGATCACCCTGAAAAGAAGGGCCACTCTTTAACAAATATTTATTGATTGAAATAATAATACAGAGAAACCCCCAAATATAGACCACTTGTACACAAAGGTCATGTTCAGTCCCTTCTGTAGATGGCTTTTGTTCACAGGTTTGACTATATGTAGAAATAAACAAAACTGTAAGACTGTCATGAGAAAATGTCACCAAAGAAGTATGACTGAGGCCATAGATGACAAGTAAATGTTATGAAAAAAGTTCATACAGAGCTGAAGAAAAAAATGGAGAAAAACGCTAAAAAAATTCTCGAATCTCTTGTCTTATTTCAACGGCAACAACCATTTGTTTTCTAACATTCTTCACAATTTAGCGTCTTCATACCTCACAGCAGTACTAGGATAGTGTCGGAGACAACTGGAGGTGTCGTAACTCACAACGATCAAGTATCTTAAACATCTTTCTGTCTCCTCTAAACATCGCCTTCCCACAAATCATAACACGCAAAAAACGGCTTTGGTTTCATACAGACTTTTAAGCTTTTAGGATGTCACTTTAAACAAGAAAAAAACAGTTTGCACAGATTTTAAAACAATTTCATTGAGATAACTTTGCCTTTGCAATCCAATAATATAAGAACCGAACAAATTTTCTGGAAATACAAGACATGGTGTACAGGAAGATCTACTGATATTAGAATATGGGTCGTAAATGATTTAAGACTTAATGTCTCAAGGATTCTCTTAAAAAATTGGTCTTGTCTACAGACCTAGTAACCAGATAACTGCTGAGATGACCCTGTAAATCTGTTAACTGATATATGTATTTATAAATCCCACAAAAATAAAAAAAAATATCGGCACTTTTTGTAGTATAATTTTTGATGTAGTTTTCATGACACTCTATCTGTTTTGTCCGTCATTGTCTGCAAAGATAGATTTAACCTTAACACCTACATGTTATGACATTGACTTTCAAATTCAAATTTGCAGCAAACGGGACATTTTTCCAAGAACTTTCTTATATGAATTGATTAAGATGCATTATTTGTGTTACACCAAAACTTGCATCATGCCTTATTGATTTCTCACATAGTTGAGGACATACAAAAGATAAACAAATTCCGAGGACATACCAAAAATAAACAAATTCTAACAAAAACTTTGAATAAAAATTAAACCGCTCTAAATTTATACCATTTTTGTTTGACAAACAGATGGTCCCTACCTAGATTTTTATCAACAAACTTCCGTTTTGTCCTATTGTAACAAAAACAAAGTAACAGAATTCTTTTTATTCTGGCATAAAAAAAACACAACACGTTATTTGTTATCTAAACTGGATTCTGTTAGGAAATTACTTTCTCCCCGTATCTGATTATGGAATATTTAATGAAAGGTTTTGAGCATGTTGGAATATTTTATCAAATATCTTGTGTCAATGAAACATTAATATGTCACGAAACACTGAATCATAAATGATCCATATTTCTATAGAGGTTTTCTAAGCTTTCGTGTAGAGATGTTATGATTGGTAATAAATATGGTTGCAAATAATATTTCAGCTAAATTAGACATTTCTTATCAATACAAGGGCTGTATCTCCATCTCCACACATACCCAGTCACCCACCAACACACATATACAAATGTATAAAATTCTTAGCTTATTTGGTCAATTGTATAAGACATTTTATTATTCGAACTCTACCATCAGACTTACCACTTGTTAAACATAGTTCAATATTTTCTAATTTTAACTACAGTCACAACTGTGCATAAAGGCCATCTAAAAGAGAGATGGATTTTATAAACAAGTAGTCTTTATTTGGAGATTACTCTGTTGTATTTTTATGTTTGTTTGTTGGATTGGGTTTTACGTCACACTGACACAGTATAGGTCATATGGCGACGTTCCAGCTTTACTGGTGGAGGAAGACCTTTGTGTTTTTATCAATACAGGTTTGTCAGAGTGAATTTTAATTACTGGGTGGTCTTTACTTGGAGGTGGTCTTTAAAACAGGTTTGACTGTAATTTTTATGACATTTACAAAAGTTATGTATATTCACAGTCTGGAACAATCTAAAAGTAGTTCCCAGTTACTAACAAACAATTCTATTCCTTAACCGACTATGCTGATTTTTCACCATTCTGGCATTTCTTTGACATATAATGGACAGCCTACTTAGCAAGAAGGCTATGTTAATGTTCACACTATATGACCTATCACGGTATATATGAGATATACCTAATCTGGGTCAAATAAAGCTTTTCAACAACTTCTATAAAACTACTGACATCTGAAACACAACTTAAGAATTAATAAACAACTGGCAGTACAAAATAAATTAAATAAAATGTCCTGTAAGAATTATTTCAATTCATTTATTTGTCACAATTCATCATTCAGGATCTGTTGCAAACATAAGCATCTCATTGGCTCATTCGAATCACACTGATTTAAAATGGACCAATGATTGAGCTGCAAATGGATGGTAGATGTAGATTTTTTATTAGCAGTTCAACGACAGACAAAAAGATGTAAAAATTAACATGTCTTCAAATCGATGACTGTGAAAGTTGTAGGAAGTTTGGCCCATTCTCACAAACTGACGGGGGAATGGATCAGGTACGTCACCCATAGCTATGCAAGGAACAAACATTTCATACTTTCCTTCAAACAATTTCACAAAATCATCTACAAATAATAGATAGTAAAAAAGTAAAAACTAGTTAAAAGAAATGACATACCTAGACTACTAGTGGTTATCAACGTCACAAAATATTGTCTTGTGTAAAGTAAGACATCCACAGCATGTATATCTTAGATCCTTACGTCTATTCTGAAAGAATAAAAAAAAGCAAGTCATTTACCACATTATGCCTTTTATAAACATCAAAATGCTAAAAAGAATTTAAATATTAAACAGATTTATTCTAAAGATTATACAAATCTTGAGAACTTCACACGAGAGTAAATTATTAAGTCATTACATAACCCATATTGTCCTGGCACAGGTAAAGTTAAATTTGTGGTGAAGGAAAGAACAATATCACCATCATGTTTGTTGTTTGTTTCATTTTACGCCTTTTCCCAACAGTATTTCAGTCATATAGGCGGGTAGTTTCCTAACCATTGTTCCTGGACAGTTACACCAGTACTAGACTACCTTCCTCCATGCTAAACTACCAAAGCATCTCCAGGGGATCGAACCCACACCAGACAGGTAACTGGATTAGAAGTCACCGACTCTAACCCCTCGATCACCATCATAGATGTGGCCAACATTTTACAAGATTGACCTTTCACTTCATGTTTTTATTATACGATTCCCAAATCATTAGAATGACTTGAAATCTTATACATAATGATGTCACACAAAAACTAAAAAAATGTGACAAGGACTTCAAACTTGCAAATCATAGCTCCAATTATTACTATAGGTGCCAAACGCTTTTAAAACCAAGCTACATTGCAACATAATGTTTACGTCTTGAGCCAAGTTTTCTTCACAGGCAGCTTTATTTACCAGTGTCTCTACGTCGTAAAAATACACACACGACAGCGTAAGATTGTCAATTATAATGACAGTATCAACTAACTGTACACACAACGGAATAAAACCGTTTTCTTTTACAGCTTTATTCTTTATTCATCAATACTAATCTTGTATTCATACGCTCTTTTATCTCTTCATTTCACAGAATGGAGACTGTGTCCCAAGATGATTTGATATTATCACTATTTTACAAATAAAAGCATAGAACCAGACTTGCTTTAGAGATAATGATGAAAATTACAAAATGTGAAATATTCATGAAATTGAATTTGTCAAGCCTTACTAAGGAAAATGATTAATTTGAAAACACAAAGAACGAGAATATTAAAATAAAATTCCTTCCTTCCTTCCTTCCATTACTTATGACTACATAATTATAATTAAATAAATCTTTCTTTCTTTCTTTATATCTATCTTTCTTTCTTTCTTTCTTTCTGACTATCTATAATCAAAGAAATCTTTCTTTCTTTTTCTAGTGACTAAACAATTATTATAAATAAAAAAACCTTTCTTTTATAACTTTCTTTCTTTTATTTGTGACATATATATTATGAAGTAAATCTCAATTTTAATGTTCAGTATTGCTGAAATTGACAAATTGCAACTTAAATTGGCTTCCTGAAAAATCAAGTCAATAAGAAAAAGCTCTAAATGATTACAAACAATTCTTTCCTACAAAAAATTCTTCAAGTTTTCAGACAACTGTAACAAGTCTCATTCTAAAAGAGGAAAGTAAAAAATTGCTTTTCTGAGTTGAAAAATAAGTATCAGTCAACTTGAAGTAAAATGAAGTGATATTTTATAGAAGTTGGCTCGAGGTGAAATCAAGCAATTGATAGTTCCAATAATGTTATGTTTAAATCTAAAATCCTGTTAGCAGTTGCCGAAAAATTGAGAGCTGAAACAAAATTAATGTTTCTCTCAATACATTCTTTATAACTAATTAGGGGACATAACTCTTGAACAGAACGGTCCGACCATGACCTGTAAATTGGAAGCGTATTTAATGTTCCTACAAAGTTTCATTGAAATCCAGTCAGTAGTTGCAGAGAATATCATGGAAATAAAATTCAGACTGATGGATGGACAAAAACAACACTTGAGAGAAAAACCAACAAGTTGAGTTATTTTAGTAATCCGCCATCAATAGAAATGGGAGGGAGTATTGTTTTGGTATCCAAGCATAAATCAAATCTGTCTATTTATGACAAAGTTATGGCAATTTTATCAAAATTCCATAATTTTAAGGTCAAGGTCATTTCAAGGTTGTCACAAATTATTCAACATATCATTTTAGTAAAGTGTTGTTTTGTCCAAGCATTTATCAAATCTGGTTTACAAAATTAAAGCCAATTAAAAATAAGCAAAATTCAATAATTTGACCTTTAAGGTCAAGATCAGTAAAAGGATCAAGGTAAGATTCAACTCTAAACTCCTTACAGGTGCTCTTCCAAGTGTTGTTATAACCAAGTACAACGACAATCAATTTATTGATAACAAAGTTACAGCCAATAGTAACAAATTTCCAGCAAACAACAACAATCTGATCTATTCAGGGGCCATAACTCTGTTTTAAATGGTCTGAATGGAACATATGCTCATATGGTTTCCAAGTTTGATCCAAGATGCAGTAGCCGAGAAATAGTGCAGAAATAAAGGTTTCACCATATTCTTACTGCAAAACTAATCAGGGGCCATATTTTTACTAAGTGTTGAATGGTCCAACCAGGACATTCGGAGGATATGCACATCTCCTATTGATTTCAATGGTTCCTATGATGATGGGCATAATACTATTTTTGCTTATCAAGGTTCAGGTAAATTTTTCAAATGTATGTACACCAAGCTGGTGGTCACTAATTTCATGATAATCCTAAATTCTAACTGGCAGAGGACAATTATTGATAAATATAGAGCTAGACAATGTCAACACCATATCAACTAACACTTTCAGAGAAATTGGTAATTACTGGAGAACTATCCAGGAAAGCCGTTCCGGTGGACCTACAGCCAGGATATGACCAAACGACACGTTACCCAGGTAACTAAAACATAGAAATATGGACTTACCTGAGAATTAAATATATCCTGTTTAACACAAAAGAACTTCTGTATATTAGATTTGAATTATTTAAATCCGGTTATTTAATGTCATAAAAAAAAATCCATTTAAAATAAAATCTTTTTGTGATTTAAGATTATTCTTGGATAGCTGGACAATAATTCGTACTTGAGGAAAACCTATTGAATCATTTAACACTTTTCCGATTTTTATCATAAAACGTGCATTTTATCTAAATGAGGCACAATGGTGATATTTCAAGCATATAAAATGCAGAAGATAACTGCACCAACTGTTATGAAATACCTGTTAAACCGCAAAGTTATAAACTAATTCAACTTCATAGGATTGCCAACTTAAATTTATATATTATCTTAAAACAAAATCATCATTAAAATATATTTTAACAACTGTAAATCTAAAAATGATATAATTTATTTATAAAAAACAACATCAACGACAACAAAATACTTGTTATTGACACCGGAGTATCTTACTATTATTATTATTATGGTTTCTTTAATAAAAACATTCTGTTGTTCAAAAATATACTTGTTACTTTATGACTGCAAGTTTTCTTTTTTTCTTCTTTTTGGAATCCTTAAAAAATCCTTTACCTAATTTGACATTTTATCAAATTTATTTTGAAAAAGATCAGAAAAATGTAGAAATGAAATTATTACACATTTTTCTCCAGGGTTTATGGAAAGCAATGCCATGAGAGATATAAAATATTAAAATTTGCCTAGTATTGCAACTGTTTTTCTTTCAATGTCAATTTCTTTCGTAAATTGTTTTACCACAGTCCCTAAAGTAATATCAAAATATACAATGACATCATTTATTCTGACAATATCTTTTTTTTTCAGAAGAAAATTTGACAATATCTTTTTTAAAGGAAACATTTTGACATAATTATTGTCATTCAAAATGATCAAATAAAAAATTTAAATTAAAATTTTCTTTAAAATTTAAATATTCTGAGTTCAAAGCCCTAAAAATTGCTTAAATCTTATATTTTAAAAAAAAAAAATTTTCCTGCAGAAAAACAATATTCTCTTTAAGTTTCAGCCGCATCTTGGTGTATTTCCTGACCAAAGGTTTAGGTTTCTGCCAAGGTGTACAGCAAGCTCGTGATAACAAATTCTAACCATTGGACCAGTAGAGATCAAAATCCATGTCTTCAGATCATAAATTATGCACTGTTTGTTACTCAGCAGGTAGTGAATAAAATTCTCCCAAAATGTGATGAATGGTTTTGCCCATATTGAAATTTGGACATGTCCAAACATAGAGAGCAAGGGATGGGGGTTCTTCCTATACTATATAAAACAGATGGTAAATTTTCATATTACTGGGACAGTTTTAAGAATGACCTCAGCTAAAACCACCCATAGCTATTTTTCCAAAATTTCTTCCAATATCAACACCCAGACATAAGGGAGGACATTGTTTTCTCCATATTCTATAGACATATGGGAGGGCATTGTTTCCTCCATATTCTATTTTGGTCATCTTGCATATTTCAGTATCAACTATGGATTACAATTATGACAGACTGATGTGAACATTTTGGTGAAGGGACTTCAGACCAGATGATTTCCATGACCTAGGTAACTTCCATGACAAAATTAACCTCCATAACCCAGATGATTTCCATGACCGACAAAGATGATCTCCATGACCTAGATATACTCCATGACCCAGATGTACTCCATGACCCAGATGTACTCCATGACCTAGATATACTCCATGACCCAGATGACCTCCATGACCCAGATGACCTCCATGACCCAGATTGATCTCTAAATACAATTCATAATGACAGTCATGCAAATGAAATTAATAACCACTAATTTCTGCCTTTCACAACTCCTCCCAGTTATTTCCCGGACTTCGCACTTAATTTGTAACTTGCATTAGAAATGTTTTGTTTCTATCTAGTGTCTAGAAAATCTGTTTTTGCTGCTTCAATGTGTATATTTTATCTTAAAGTAATTTGAAACTCATAAATAACTTCCAAAAGCCTGTATTAAAACAGATTTACTTCTGCCACACTTATCTTCCAGATCCTCAGACCAGAATCAAGTTATCAATTTCAAAAAAAAAAGAAGATATGTAACTATCTAGCACTGTACCTAAAATTTTCTCTAAAATACTCTGTGGTAATCAATACCTAACTGTGCTTAATTTATAATTTAACATGCGCTTCCAAAAGCAA